CATGTGTGTGGGACATTCCCAAACACCCAGGCCCGTGTCAGGCGCCTCGGCAGTCCGGTCAGGAGCAGGGGACGCCCGGCAGCGCGCACTTCCCCCCCCCCGCCCCCCAGGGGAAGGGCACGCAATCGCACGGCACGCCCCCCGAGGAACCAGCCCTTGCGGAAGCGCATTTCCCAGCTGTGGCAGATAAACTAGCAGCTTTAATTATTCCCGATTTGTTGCCCCCTCCGGTCTCCGGCTCCTCCCCCCCCCCCAATACGCAGGCATATGTCGTGTTGTGTCGGGGGTGATCGACCATCGTCCCTGGAAGTCGTTGGTGGTGTTCGTGCATCGGCACGCACGCGCGCGCGTCGCCAGCCCATCTGCGCAGTCGAGACATCCCCCGGCAGGGACGCCGAGACCCGGCGCCGGCAGCGGTACGTGTAGCTCATGAACTAGTCACGGACCGAGTGGGCCCCGCACTTGCCACGAGAGGGGTCGGGTGAAGATGATCGTGCCGCACTGACTCCTTCCCAGCAAGGACGGGGGGGGGGGGGCAATGGGTCCACCCCGCGCACTCCCGGCGGTCGTCCGGTTGTCCCAGCACCCCGCGCTTCTAGTTTCTTGCAGCGCCCGGGTCACGCGAGAAACAGGCATCACACCCTCCTGGAATATCACTGAGTCATAATGTCATTACGTGGTCACCACCCGCCGGATGCACACTCGCGCGCCAAACCTCCCCCGAACCGGGGGGGGCTCTTTTCGCGCGGGCTTTTTCGCTCCTCCACCAACTTCGGGCTTCTGGCGCGCTTGTGCCTTCCCCCTCGTCAGGGAGGGGGCCCTGCCCGGCCGGAGTGGGCCCAGCCCGCGGGGGAGGGGCGACACCAAGCACCCCTCCCCCCCCCCCCCGCCCCTCCCGTGCTCATGCATATCCCCAGTGTGCGCGCGCCTTCGTGCCGAGCATCAGCTTTCTCGCCCCCGCCTCGCCCCCTCCCGCGCCGTCTCTCCCCCCTCGCCCCCCCGGGGGGGGGGGGTCCTGCGCAACTGCCTGGTTGGGTGTCCACCGGCCTCACGGGAACAGATTCTTGGGGCCCAGTTGGGCGGGCAATTTTTCTGCCTGTGAGAGTGTGTTCCCGCCTTTCGCCGGGCCGCGCGCGCGCGCGTGCGGCTCCAACCATGAATAGGCGCGCAAATTCCCGGCCACTCTCCCGCCCGAACGGGGATCGGGCGGGAGGGGGGACGCCGGGGTCCGGAGAAGACCAAGACTGTGAGAGCCTCTCTGCATGTTGGTGCTTCGAGACTCGCGGCGTTTCCTCCTCCCTGTTCCGGTCTCGTACGAGGTCTCCCGTGGTCCGCGCCACACCGCGGCACCCGCACCCGCGGCGAGGGGAGCCGGCCTGCGCGGTGCTGCCTGCCCGGTTGGGGGTCTCGCCAAGGTCCCCTGCAGCCCGGGTGTTGGTGGGAGCCAGGAGCTCCGTTCCCCCCCCCCCCCCCCCCCATGGGGGAGTCCACTCTGACGTGTCACGCACCAGCCGCCCATGTGCGTGCGTCAACAGCACCCGGAACCCGAGCGCCCCACGAGCCCCGCCGCGAGAGGCGTGCTCTGTCGCCGCTCCTCCCGGCCCCACAGTCTCCGAGCCCCTGGGTTCCACCCGCCGGGGAAAGGCTCCCGCGGGCGTCCTTGGGTGTCGTCCCGCGCGTTCCCCCGCCTGGAACGTATCTCTCGTTACCACTTTGCCGGTGCCCCGTGACACCGGCTGTCATCATCATCTGTCTATGGTTCGGTAGGTGGCGGACTCAATGTCGGTGACCCCGTGTCCGGGTTTCCTTCCCTTTTGGCATCCAGTGATTGTGTTGATCTATGTTTTTTTCGGCCACCGCCCAGTACCCCAATGGATTTCACATCTCTCCACCCCCCTCTAGCAAGCGAGAGAGAAATCATCGCGCAAGCTTCCCCCCTCCCTCTGGTAATTCGCCGCCCCCCTGCCTCCCTCATCCCACCGCCTGCCCCTCCTCTATCGCCCGCCGCTCGCCCACTCGCTCACTCGCCCACTCGCCCACTCGTATACTTGCCCACCCTCCTCACCCTCCTCATCCTCCTCACCCCCTCACCCCTTTCCCTCTACCTCTACCTCCCTCTCGGTCCCCCTTGGCTATTCCTCCCCCCCCCCCACGTCCTTCCCCCAGGGTCACTTCCTTTATGAATCCGACACTCAACTCAGACAGTCATACCCCATCAGCCATGAGCGGGCAGACCCCCACCGGCGCCCCGCCGGATGACATCCTCCGTGCCATTGGTGCCGATTTCTCCGCCAGCTATGTGCCTTACAATGCCAGCCGCCGGCGCCGTCGCTCCATGTACTCCACTTCTCCGCCGGAGGTGCGCCCCGTGACTTCTCTCCCGCCCCCCTTTCCTCCCCCCGACGCTGCCTCGCTTTTTGGCGCCACCACATGTGCCTCCTTCCCCTTACTCAGCTGTCGCCCTGCATGCCTCTCCTTGCCTCCGGACCGCAGGGCTCCCCGGCGGACTTCCCCAACAAGATGTCGCACACCGAGCACCACGCGGACTACTCGCCGCTGGTGCACCAGTCTGGTGCTGGTTCGATGCTCTTCAGCCCGCAGCAGCAACAGCAGCAGCAACAACAGCAGCAGCAGCCGCAGCAGCAGCCGCAGCAGCCGCAGCAACAGGCCCTGGCCGGATACCCGGTGGCCCCGGCCTCGCCATCTCCTGCCTCGACCAGCGGTGGTGCGTCTCTCTCTCTCTCTCTCTCTCTCTCTCTCTCTCTCTCTTTCTCGCTTTCTCTCTTTTGCTTTCTCGCTTTCTCTCTTTTGCTTTCTCGCTTTCTCTCTTTTGCTTTCTCTCCCTCTCTCCCTCCCTCCCTCTCTCTCTCTCTCTCTCTCTCTCTCTCTCTCTCTCTCTCCCTCTATCTCTTTCTCGCCTTCTCGCTTTGCCTCATTGGTCCCGCTGACCTCTTCTCTTCCTACCCGTTGCTCAGATGCCACTGCCAACGCGGCCCTGGTCGATATCAACAGTCAGCCTGGCGCCTATCCTCCGGGCTCCGCCGAGGCCGCCGCCCCGGGCACCGGTCCCCGTTACGGCATCTACCGCGAGCCGCCCAGTGGCATGTCCCCGGCCAGCAGCAAGGCCGCCGCCTACTCTCGCATGCCCTCCCACGAGATCGCTGCCATGTACGCCTTCATCCTTGGTCCTTCCTCCCGTGCTGCCCTGCCCACACAGTCATGCCTGTTTCACCCTAACCGCCCCAACCATGGCGATCCCCCTGTTCCCTGCCCATCTCCCTCCCTCCCTCCCTCTCTCCCTCCCCCTCTCCACCCCCCCTCCCTTGGGCCGATGTTGCGCCACAGGGTCACTCACGTCGGCAGCCTCCAGGATCATCTTGGCCCCGAGCCCGCATTCAGCTACGAGCCCATGGGCATCATGAACCCCGAGATCCTGGACCCGACATCCCCGCCGCACCCCCCGCTGAGCAAGTGGCGCCTGCACCAGTGCAACGAGCTCCGCAACCGGGTCTGGTCCTACGTGCAGAACCGGGTCCTGGTGTCATCCTTCGCATACACCACGTCCGGCCGGGCCGCCCCTCCGCCGAGTGCCCCGGGTGGTGGTGGCGGTGCGCGCGGCATGCGCCGTTGTGTTTTCAACGGCGCGGACTTCTGGCTCTTCTGCCGGCTTTTCCATGAGTTCGCCTCGCCGGAGACCACACACAGCACCCAGACCCCCAGCAGCCGCGATCCGACCCAGTGCTCGATCATCGTGCGCAACCTCCGCCGCCTGGGCGGCATCTTCGGCACGGATTGGCACCGGAAGACCGGCCATGGCCCGAATGCCCTCGGTGCCATGCGCATTGTCCCTCCGGTGCTGCTGGAATTCATGCCGGATGCCGGTGTTTACCGCGCGCCGTCCGTTCGCGGCGGCATCCCCGGCGACTACTTCAATGCGGAGGTCGGCGAGACGGCCGAGGAGTTGTCTCGCCGGACCGGCCGCATCACCATCCGCTTCATGGGCGGTGTGACGGCCTACTCCCTGGCCGATGCGGCCATGGCCGCCGGCCTGACCGTGGTCAACACCACCACTGCCAGTGGCGATGGCTCTGGCTCTGGTGATGGGACGACCCCGACTCCCGGTGCGACCACCGTCACCGGGGCCCAGATGAACACCCTCCCGGAGCGGCTGTTGGACATCACCAGCAGCGAGGGGAATACGCTGCTGGCTTCGGCGGCCTTCGCCCATCTGATTGGCAGCCAGGGGCCCACCTCGCCCAGGACTGCCGCCCTGGCTGACATGAAGAACCAGGCCAATGCCACGACCACCGATTCCGTGGCCGTGGTGTCCACCTGCGAGGTGGTGGCCGCTGAGGATGGCGACGATGGCCCATCGGATCCGGAGGCCACGGCGGCGGCGGCCGCTGCGGCGGCCATTGCCACGGCCAACATCTCCCAAAATATGCTGGCGTCCAGCACCCCGAGCGGTGCCGACATCACCAGCGACACCGGCATCCGCGGCATCGGCGGCATCGGCACCACCGCGACATCCAGCACCGACCTCTTCAAGTCCTCTCAGTATGTGCCGAGCACGCCGACGCCCATTGCTACCAGTGCCACGCAGGCGGCCCAGGCCGCACAGGCAGTCCAGGCCCAGGCGGCCCATGCTGTCCAGCAGCAGCAGCAACAGCAGCAGCAGCAGCAGCAGCTCTTTAGCGATCTGACTGGCATGAGCCCGGCACACCCTTCGACCCCGGCGGCCACGGCGGCCGCCCTGCACAGCCACCAGCTTGCGGCCGCGGTGGCTGCCGCCCATGGGCACATCCATGCCGGGAATCCGCACGCGCTGGCGGCCCTGTCTCACACGCTGCATCATCCGCATCTGCATGCCGCCTACCAATACCTGCAGCATCCGCACCACCTGCATGCCACTCTCCATGGGGCCGGGGCCTCGGGGCATGATCTGCACTCGGCGGCGGCGGCGGCCGCCGTGGCCGCGGCTGCTGCCCAAGGACATCTTACCCAATTCGGGGCGCCTGCTATGGGTCTCCCTTCGCCGGCGGCTGCGGCCGCGGCCGCGGCTGCGGCTGCGGCTGACGCCAACCGGGCCGCCGCCCCTAGTGCCCCGGCCGCCTCCTCCTCGCCCATGCATCCGTCTGGCTTTGGCGCGCACACCCCGGCGGGCGATACGGCCGTGGCACCGGCTTCCGAAGGCGCCGGCTTGCCGACTGGGCTCCCTTCCTTGACGGCCAGCACGGCCACCGTCTCACCGCTGGCGGCAGATGCGGAGGCTCTGTCGCGTCTGTCCACCGTGGGTGGTGACGATTCGGCCGCCGCCGATGCCGAGGCCATGGCCGCCGAGGCGGAGGCCGAGCTGGCCCGGCTGGAGGCCGAGGCTGCCGCGGCCAAGGCGCGTGCCCTCGAGGCTCAGGTTCGTGCTATGCGGGCGCGCGCGGCGGCGGCCAGCAGCCCGGCCGGTGTGTCGCCGCTGGGTGCGCGCTCGGCCCCCGGTGCCGCGCCTGCTCCGGCGGCGGATGCTCCGCTGTCTCCCTCGTCGGCTGCGGTCGGCGGGCTGGGGTCTTCCCTGTCGGTGTCGGCTCCGATCGGTTCTCCCACCGGGGGTGGTCTGTCTGCGGGATCCAGCTCGCTGGCGTCGCCTTCCTCGCCGACTGGTGGGCTGGGCAGCAGCGCGGCCGGGTCTTCGGTTCCCGGATCACCCCTTGGCAGCCCGGGTCTCTCGAAGTAGTTGGCGCGCGCGCGCGCGCGCACGCGTGTGTGCGTGTCTGTGCAGGGGAGGGGGAGAGTCCCACTTAGTGGTGGTGGCAGCCCCCTCCTCCCGCGCCCTCGGCCCTTGCTTCCCTGCCCTTTCGCCCAAGCTCATGGCAGGGGCTGGGGGTGGAGTGAAGCGAGTGCTTCTGAGCCACCCTCTTTGTTGGGCCTGTTCCCTCTCCCCTTGCTGTTATTTTACCTTCTTGCTGCCCGTTTCCCATGTGGCCCCTCCCTCCTTTCTCCTCCCCCCCCCCATCGACAATATACAACGTCAAAATTCCCCCTCCCAACGGTAGTATGATACGCGGCGCATCTTGGGACCGGCTGTTGTGTGCCATGACCTCTTTGCTCGGCGCGCCCTTCCTCCATGCTCCTCGCTGCCGGCCTTCCCCCTCTGTAGCCACGCAGGCTGTGGGAGTGTTTTCTCACATGTAGCGGCGCCAGCCTGACACGGCCGCCTATTCGGCCAGGAGCCGCCTTTCCAAGGACCTCTCTCTCTCTCTCTCTCTCGATGGGGAGGCCCACCGTTGTGAGGCCGTG